TATATAAATGCTTTTTTTTAAAAAGGTTATTTACACCAGACATACAAACTTAAAATTCTAAAAATGTAAATAAAGAATTCAATGAATAAATTGATTAAAATGGGTCAATGAAATGGCAGCTCATAAGTAAAACTGAAAAGATTAATTATTCAAGCACAATTATTATAGGTACAAATGAAAACAATGAGTATCATTTGATGGAGGAAGGACTGGAAGTAGAGCTCAGAAAGTCTGGCCAACCTGCCCTGTGGTTCACATGCAGGAGCCTGAGGATATGGTGCTGCTTAGGTTCTGTGGTTCTGGGTATATCTGGACACCTTGGCATTTGTAGGGACCTCGAGGACCACAGCCAACAGTGCTCAGGGGCCTCCTGGATTTTACCCAGTGATGATTGATGCCAGGAATTCAACTACTATACCACTGTAGTATCTCTCAGCCTGAGATTATTTTAATCTGTAAGATTAACAAAAAAACATTAGATTTAAGGGAAATACGTACTTTAACACTACTGGCTAAGTGTAAATTACCTCAAAATATTATTTGAAGACATTTTTTCCAAATAAAAGTGAAATTTTTGGTGAAATTTCAACTCTTATGGTGAAGGATAAAATTGAACTCTACATTTAGAGTGGTGCACTAAAATGTGTATATGTTGATTTTCAGTGACGCAAACATGAAACATAGAAAATTATAATGTAACGTTGCTACTTTAAAAATAAGTTCTCCTATCTTTGGGCATAAATTCCATTATTAGAAATTCACCCGGGGGCTGGAGCGATAGCACTGTGGGTAGGGTGTTTGCCTAGCACGCAGGCCAACCCGGGTACAATTCCCAGCATCCCAAATGGTCCCCCAAGCACCACCAGGAGTAATTTCTGAGTACAGAGCCAGGAGCAACCCCTGAGCAGCACTGGGTGTGACCCAAAAAGAAAAAAAAGAGAGAAATTGACCCTGTAATTGTGGAGCAACAGTACAGAAGATAGGGCACTGGCACTTGCCTTGCATGCACCTGACCTGGGTCCAATCCTTTACACCTCATATGGGTCCTTGAACCTGCCAGGAGTAATCTCTAAGTACAGAGCCACGAATAAACTCTGATCACTGTGGGTTTGGCCCCCAAACAGAAAGAAATAGGGAAAAAGTGAAAAGAAAGAGGGCGGGGGTATGGTGCCGCCAGCAGGTCAATCTGTACCTGTGAGGTGAGTGCATCAGCAGCTTGATGGCACCTTCAGACTTCCAGATACCCCAAAATTGCTGCTGTGCCTTTGACCAGACCCCAAAAATTTGAGACAAAGATTACCAAGAAAGTAAATAGCCAAAAGTTAGGTATGTGGGAGACACACCCACAAACCTCCTCCGGCTCAGCTATATAATTGGAGGCATGGCCTCTCTAGTTCCTGATCAAACTGCTTAATGGCTATCATCCCAGAGACTCAGAAACAAATCTCGAAACCCAACAGCTTTTGGCAGAAATGCATCCGGTCCCTGCAATAGGTTACAGGCACTGGGCCACCCCAGGTGGGAATAGGTTTCGTGTCTTGGCCTGTTCCCCCGGTGGCCCAGTGGCCTCCAACCCTCAGAGGCCACTGGACAGTCAGGTTTGGGTCCACAGTGATGAGACATGTGGGGCCTCATGGGCTGGGGGTGGAGCCGGCCCTTTCCTTCCCGGTCCAACAAGACCCTGAGTTGCCACCCACAAACGGCCTCTCTGGATCCTGATCAAGCTGCTTAAGGGCCGTGATCCCAGATACTCAGAAACAAATTTCAAAATTCAGTGGCTATTGGCAGAAATGCATCCTGACCCCGCAGTAGGTTATTGTCACCGGGTCACCACCGGGGGGAAAGCGTGTTGTCCCTCCACCTGCTGCCCCTTGGCAGCTCGGTGGCCGCCATCCTCCAGAAGCCATCAGACAGTCAGGTTTGAGCCTGCAGTAATGAGACAAGCGGGGCCTCACAGGATGGTTGTGGAGCAGGCCCTTTCCTCCCGACCCCAAGAAGACCCTGAGTTGCCGGCAATGAACGGCCTCTCTGGCTCCTGATCAAACTGCTTAATGGCCATGATCCCAGAGACTCAGAAACAAATTGTGGAACCCAGCGGCTTTTGGCAGAAATGTGACCAGTCCCTGCAGTAGGTTACCAGCACTGGGCCACTCCAGGTGGAAATAAGTTTCATGCCTTGGCCTGTTCACCCTGGCGGCCCAGTGGCCACCATCCTCCAGAGGCCACTGGACAGTCAGTTTTGGGCCCGCAGTGACGAGACACATGAGACCTCATGGGTTAGGGGTGGAGCTGGCCCTTTCCTTCCCGCCCCAACAAGACTCTGAGTCGCCGCCCACGAACAGCCTCTCTGGCTCCTCATCAAGCTGATTAAAATGACCGTGATCCCAGAAACTCAGAAACAAATCTTGGAATCCAGTGGCTTTTGGCAGAAATGCATCCGGATCCCACAGTAAGTTACTGTCACCAGGCCATTCCAGGGAGGAAAGGATTCTGTCCCTCCACCTGCTCTCCCTAGGCGGCTCGGTGGCTGCCATCCTCCAGAGGCCATTGGACAATCAGGTTTGAGCCCTCAGTGATGAGACACGTAGGGCCTCACTGAATGGGGTGGAGCCGGCCCTTTCCTCCTTGTCCCAACAAGACCCTGAGTTGCCGCCCACTAATGGTCTTTCTGGCTCCTGATCAAGCTGCTTAACAGCCATGATCCCAGAGACTCAGGAACAAATCTCGGAATCCAGCAGATTTTGGTAGAAATCCCTCCAGATTTAATTGTTAAAATTTTGGAATTTTAAAATCACGTGGCCACTATTGCAGCCACGTGACATCATATGTTATTCATAACCAGCAATAGAAAACAAATTGTCTATGGTTGCCTTTTCAGCAGATCTGAGTGTTGGGGTAAAATCCCAAATAATAATGGTGGGTCTGGTGTCAAAATATTGAATGTAATCAAAGTATAGAGAGAGTAATGTGGAAATCATCTGCCCCACAGGTAGGGGGAGGCTGTGGGATGGGGGTATATTGGGGTTTTGGGTGGAGGAGAATGGGCACTGGTCAAGGGACAAGTGTTTCATTGTGTGACCGAGACTTAAACCCAAAAGCTTTGTCACTGCTCTCAGAGTGATTCAATAAATAAAATTATAAAAAATGAAAAAAAAGTAAGATGGAGTTCATGCCCAATTCAATCAGCTAACCTAGTTGCTGAATAAATAGCAGTACTCCTACTTAAAAAAAAAAAAAAAGAAAGAAAAGAAAGAGGAAAGGGAGGGAGGGAACGAGGAAGGACTCCACCCTATATAAATACTTGCAAAGTAATTTATTAACAGTTATAAATAATTACTGAAGTGATGTAAAGCAAAAAGTTAAACAACCTAAGTCTATATCAAGACTAATTAATAGAGTTGGGGATGTGTCTCAGTGGTAAAGCCTTACATGTGAAATGCTCTGGATTGGATCCCTAGCACCACAAATAATAAAAGTAAGGAAAAATACAGATCATCAAATAACACAGAAATTAATCTATATAACAAAATATAGTGCCATTATTTAAAATACTGAGTACTCAATCTGATTTGGTATTAAGGAAAATCATCCAAATATCTGTTTAATAGGGCATAAAAATGGAAATAATGTTTTGTTGATTTAGATATTTGCTACTCAAAATGTGGTTCTCAAACCAAGAACATAAGTTTTACATAACCTAGAAGTTTGCTAAAAAAGGCACACACACAACCTGGAACAATATTTTAACGAACTTTTGGTATATAGGACATGAAATCCAGAACTATGTAGTACATAAAATTTAGAACTAAATCTACTAAGTAGAATATAAAATCTAAAATTAATTCTTTTTTTAGATGTTATAATTTTATCCCCCCCTTTTATTGATTAACTGTGTTATAGTTACAAAGCTTTCATATTTGAGTCATGCAATGATCAATCACCCATCCTTTCACCAGTGCACATTGTTCACCACCAAAATCCCCAGTATTCCCCTCCAATTCCAACCCTCCCCCTGCCTGTGTTACAGACAATTTCCACAATAATCTCTCTCTACCATGATTACATTCAATATTTTGACAACAGTCCCACCTCCACTGAAACCTGCCAAAAAGGCTATACTAGACAATTTATTTTGTATTGCTTGTTATGGATAGCATATAATGTGGTGTGGCTGTAAGAGCAGTCACGAGCTCTAGGAATTCTAAAACTTTAATAACTAGGGTCTGGAGAGATCTCTGCAGTGAACTGCTCAGTTCTGAGATTCGTGTGTGTTCTCTGGATTATGGCCTTGTAGGAGCTTAATAAGTAGCCGAGAGAAGTCCCATCTCTAGATCCCATGGGGCGTGGGGATGGAGAAGGGCTGGCTCCTCCCCTGTCCCATGACGCCTGGCATTTGCCACTTCTGCTCCTGCATACCTGGACTTGTTATTGGATTCTAGAAGATGGAAGCCACCAGATTCCTTGGGGGCAGTCAGAGGGACTGCGCCTCCTCCCGTATGCTGTGGCCCAGCAAAAGTGCCCTTTTGCAAAGTCCAGAGGCATCTCTGCAGTGAGCTGCTCATTTCTGAGATTCATGTGTGTCTATTAAAACTGCTTTAATGGCTCTTATTATTTGTCCTTTTTCTTCCACCCCCAAAATCTTAAACACAAAAAATTATGATATAATATCACTAGTTTGAGCACAATTGAGCAGCTGAAAACATATAAGTAAATTACTTTTAGATTTCTATTGTTTTCCCAATGACACACAAATTATGCTACTGTTTAAGTCTGCAGCTGTTGCTGACTCTGTGTCACTGTTTACTGTAATTACTGCCTTCAGATTTCACTCTGACCCATATCCAGTTATAGGATATACCCGGCCAAATGAGCAATTTCAGAATTCAGCTATGCTTCTTGGTGCCTACAAAACTGTCACATCAAAACTCTCTTTTCCTAATTGCATAAAAAGTGTTTAGTATAACTTCATCTTGGCTAAAAAAAAAAAAAAAGAATCTCACCTGGCTGTTTCTCGCCACTCAGCATCCTCACCTTCACGCCAGCAAATCTCATCCAGTTCCGTGAAAAGATCATGAGGAATGTGTTCTTCATCATCATCCTCAGTTCCAAGAATAAACTGAACTCTCTGTGATGGGGTATCTATGGACAATCAGAAACATGGACATGCATTACTGTGACTTCAAGCTTACTAAATTCCAGTCACTACCTTCAACACTCACAATTCCCCTATCCCCTTTGTAAGTACCTTCCAGAGTACACGTGGGAAACCAGAACTAAATTTAACATTACATTAAGTATAACATAATTTAGGATCACAAATATATAAAATGTAACTATACCATATAATTACGGTATTTAAAACAAATCTATTACTTTGAATTTTGATAAGTTAATCATAAAACCTATTTTTATTCCACACATTTTACTACCATTTATGCGATATTTTATGGCAACATTCAAAAGCACAGATATGACAAAATTCACTTATACTAAAACTGCTGGACATAATTTATCAAACAACTCATTTGCAACGCTTATTTGGAATTGCACCTTGTTCACACCTCTCGCCTCTGGCCAGCACTAATCTTATCTTTCCTGATATAGAATTCTTTTCTAGAATGTCACTTAAATAAAAATCTATGGTGTAAAGATCTTTGAGCCTGTATTCATTAATTTAATATAATGTCCTTGGGTGCTTGAGATTTTTCTGTGTCACTGAGCATATCACTAGTTCATTCTTTTTATCACTGAGTAATAGTTTATTTTTAGGAATGTTCCACAACTTTCTTATTCAGCCACCTGTTGTAAGGTGGTTTCCAATTTGTGAAGTACTGTAAGTTTTCTTGTACAGAGTTTTTTTGGTGAACTATTTTTATTTCTCTGGGATAAATACCTATGAGTAGTATTGCAAGATCATAATATGTGTTTATATTCAACTTACATTACCAGAGCTTCTGTAACTTTGCATTCCCAGCAACCATCAATCAGAGATGACTCTCTACCATTTCATCAGCTCTTGGCAATATCAGTTGCTTTATTATCCATTGAATACAGTTATATTTCACTGTGGTATTTGCATGGACCTGATAGATAATGTTGACGACTTTTCTTGTTCTTAACAGTCATTCCTATGTCTTCTTTGGTGAAGTTATTGAAAAAAATTTCCCCATTTCTAATTGTATTGTTTCATGACCTTAAATTTTGAGTAAGTAAAAGTAAAGTAAAAAGTAAAGGCCCTCCCGTTGTTCATCGATTTGCTCGAGCAGACCCAGTAACGTCTCCATTGGAGACTTTGTTGTTACTGTGTTTGGCATATTGAATACACCATGGGGAGCTTGCCAGGTTCTGCCGTGTGGGTGAGATACTCTCGGTAGCTTGCCGGGCTCTCCGAGAGGGGCGGAGGAATCGAACTCGGGTCGGCCATGTTGGCTGCGTACAAGGCAAACGCCCTACCGCTGTGCTATCGCTCCAGCATTCTTTATATACTCTGGATACAAGTATTTGTTGAACTTATGGTCTTAAAGCATTTTCTTTTCTCCTCATGTACATTTTACTTCTTCATTAAGACTTTTAATAAAACTATCTTAGTTTAACTAAAAATCAAAATAATTAAATTTTTAATTATTAAAATTAAGTGATACAATTCCCAACTATTCCAGTTAAATCCCCAGAAACAATTGAAGACAAAGCCAGGAGTAAGCTCTGAGCAGTCATTTGCGGCCCACACCCCACAAAACAAAGAAACCAAGATGTTCTTTAGTGGGTCAATGAACAAATTAACTGTAGTACATCCAGACAATGAAATATTATTAGTTCCAAATGAAATAAAATATTAGCTTTTGAACATGAGTAGACATGGAATAATTAATGAGTATCAGTAAGTGAAAGAAGTCTCTCTGAAATGAATAGATGATATATGATTCCAACTACATGACATTTTGGAAAAGGTTTAAAACTGGGGCGGTTCGGTGTTTGCCTAAGTCAGTGGGTGGAATTAATAAACTAAGATTTTCATTTTACTACATTGAAAACACTCTAATTGATGGATAAGTATTATTATGTATTAATCTAAACAATATAGAATTCATAGTAGCAAAAGTGAACTTTAAGATAAACTATGAGATCTGAATGATTATGATGTGTCTGTGGAGGCTCATCTTGGCAAAAAGAGTTACAGTTCCTGGTCAGTGATGCTGGGGAAGTTTCCATGTGTAGAGCTGAGAAATTGCTATAAGTTCCTCTTAATTTTATAATAGGCATAAAACTATACTAAAAATTAGTCTGAAAATAGACTGCTGGAGTTTTTATATGTTAATTGTTCCTGCCATTATAGATGACTATATTTTTTGCACAAGCATACATACATTTAAGAAATTACAAGGATGAAAAAGACACTATATTTATATGACACATTTTCAGTCATGATATTTTAGAATGTTTCCTTTTTAGAAGGTAACAGTGTGATATTGTTCTATTATCAAATACTTTAAATTTGCCCAAATAAATTTTCAGCAAAATAAAAAACTGAATCAACAGTCAAGCCTCATGCTTCTCTACCTCTCCAAAGGAAGATGCCAATTTTCTGTATAGTACATGAATGTTTATTTTTAAATGAGACCGATTAATTATATAAATGTCATATTTACTTTTGAAAATCAACAGTACATCATGTACATTTCTGATATGATTTATTTCTATTAGAACCTTAAAATCTAACAATGTACTGCAGATTCCACCACCGCTGCCATGCAATTGCGACTCATGATTAAATATCAAAAGAGATCAACTAGCTGCAAAAATTCCTCTGATACACTGGTTCCATCTCAGATTTCCAGAATGACCTTGGAAAGGGGGCAGACCAAGTGCCCGTCCTTCCAATGCCCCACCAGCTTCACTTGTACCCCAATAGCTACTCCATGGCTATAGCCAGACATCACTGCCTCACAATTGCGTCCCACAGAGTAGCCAAACTGCAGAAAACTTCAGGTACACTGGGGGTTTTTTTGGCTGAAACACCAGGCATTCTCAGAATAAGGGTGGGTGACCTACCTCCAAATTCCCTACTTCCAGAAGTCCTACCACATTCCACCACTGCTGCCATGTAAGCTCATCTATTGGCCCTGCTCCAAAGATTCACAATTAAATCTCCAAAGAGATAAACTAGCTGCAAAAATTTCTCACATAGACCTGTCCTGGCTGAGACCTCTGGGGTAACCTCTGGAGGGGAGTGGGCCAAATTCCTGCTCTGTCAAAGCCCTGGCAACTATACTCACCCTCCCAACAGCTGCCACCATTCCCACAGCCAGACTCACTGACCAGGTAAATATTCAAAATTTTCTGAAACATTCTCAACTGAACAACATCTCCAAACTACAATACTAACATCTCAGTAGGAACACATCAGGTTAGATGCAAATGTAACATTACAGGCCAACTAAGCTCAATTAACAAAAGCATTAACACAGAGGGCTCAACTAGCAACAATAGAATGCCCCCATAGTAAAATATAACAATTTTGACAAATTTTCTTTTTATTCAAAATTTTTGTGTTTGTGATGATTCCATTAGCCACTTAGTGGTAACAAACAATAGAAAATAAATTATTTTGGGCCTTCAATAGGGGCAGCTTTGAGGGAAGGATGAGAAAATAGGGACAATGGTTAATGGAAGGTCACAGTGGTGGTGAAATTTGGGATGGAATATTGAATACCTGTTACAAATGCATCATGAATAACTTTGTAAATCACAGTGTTTAAATAAAGTGGAAAAATGAAAGTATATTCAGAGTAATAGCATATTCTAATTTCAATCTTAACAGAGTCAAATGACATACTAATAAGTCTATCATCTTTGTGGCTGGTTGATCTGGAAAACACCCAAAGTGTCAATATTTTGAGTAGTAATAAAAGTAAAAGGTAAAGGCCCTCCCATTGATCGTCGATTTGCTCGAGCGGGCCCAGTAACGTCTCCATTGGAGACTTTGTTGTTACTGTAATAAAAGTAGAAATTTTAAAAATCAATTTAGTTATTCCATAGAACTACCCAATGTAACCAGTCATGGCCTTTTTTCCTTTTTTGCATATTAGTCAACAATTCTAATTTTGTTACTTTTCATCACATCCCAGAGGAGCCACTTCTCAGCACTGACACTATTTTCCTTGGGTTTTTGAAACATTTTATTTTCCCACATTCTACAGAGATGTATTTCAGTTTACCCTGCATTATAACCTAGATTTTTATAAAACTTACCTCTAGCCCCTAAATTCAATTTCTCGGTACATGAAATTTAATCTTAAAGTTTATTGGTGTTTACCGTCATAAATAATGAGGAATAGCACAGTGGTAGGGCGTTTGCCTTGTGCGCAGCCAGCCCGGCCGAGCAGGGTTTGATTCCTCTGCCCCTCTTGGAGAGCCCGGCAAGCTACCGGGAGTATCTCACCCGCACGGCAAAGCCTGGCAAGCTACCCATGACATATTCAATATGCCAAACACAGTAACAACAAGTCTCAAAATGGAGATGTTACTGGGCCCGCTCAAGCAAATCAATGAACAACGGGAGGACAGTGACAGTTAATACACTAATCATCCACTGGCAAAGAAAAAAGGTATGGGATTACATCAAAGTAAAAAGTTTTGCACATAAAGAAACTCAGGCTAAAATAAAGACATCTGACATAACGCAAAAATATAATCATAATATAAAATAAGATAAAGGGCTAATATGTAAGATATATAACATCACATAGCTTGCCACTAACAAAAAACAATAAACCCATCATATAATGGGGAGAAAAGATAAAGAGAATTTTCCCTGGTAAAGACATACAGATGGCCAGTAAGCATATGAAAAAGTGTCATTCACTGATTATCAGGGAAATGCAAATCAAAACAATGCAACATCATTTCACACCAGTGAAAATGACATATACCAAAAACCTAGAATCAACCAGTATCTGTAGGAATGTGGCGAAACGTGAATGCCATTTGGTTCAGACTCTATGGAAAGCAGTATAAACACTTCAAAAACAAATTTTAAAAGAATTACCATGTGACCCAGTGATCTCAATCTTTAGCATTTTATCAGGAACATAAAAATATTAACTTAAAAATATATATGCACACACTATATATATAGTGTT